TGAACACTTATAACACTATAACCCATGAAATAAATCATTAAATTGGCATTTTTGGGGATTGAAACATCCACTGATGTTTCAAAGATTACTAGGTTCATAGCCTGAATTCAGGTGGGACTCTTGAGTATTTTCTCATCATGTTTCTTCATGAATAATAATTTTCATTAAAATACCATTAATGGAAGCATTTGTGGATACATACATAAGAAATAAGTTCTGTTAATGAATTTGTGTAATGTGACACCTATGTAGCCTTGAACACCCCTTTACTAAGGGCACTTGGCATCTCAGATACAGTCCCAATTCCTTTCCATCCTTCCAATCCCTCTCCATAAATCCTGTGGTTCCTCTCTGCCTAAGGTTCCATTTCAAAAGGTCAAAGGCTAGAGATTGTGGGGAAGAAATACAAATTGGTTTCACCCCAGCACTGCCTATAATCTGGTGATTACAGAACTTTTTATGGGAATGACATTTCGCAAGCCCATCAATTCTCCTACTTTTGAGGACAGAAAGTTATTAATTCCTAGAGTTGTATAAAAAACCCATTAGATTTGAATAATGTCACTAGGAAAGCAAGTCATTAAAGCTAACACAACCACCCAGGGAACACAGAGCTTGGGTCAAAAACTGACACACACAGCAGCACAGGACTGAGGATTTATTTGATTTTCTCTCAGGGCGCTTAATTCTATGCAGCTGCACCTATGACACATAAATGTGTCTTTGGATGTTATCAAAAAGGGATATAATTACTGTGATAAAGCCTTCCCACCACTTAGACAGCTCTCCCAGTATCCTGAGTATTTTTCTCACCAGTATTAGCTGCATATATAAACAAGCATTTAAATATATATAATGGGTATTTTATTTAGAATTTTTACCAGAGGTCAAAAAAGAAATGCAATTTATGCTAAAAAATAAATAAACTCTGTTCTCTTTCAGCATCATGGTGTGTCCTCAATAACAACTAGAAGCTGTGGTTCCAAGTAATGTTAATGTTGTATTGCCTTTCATTACACTAACATTCATATTGCAGTGTGAAATTATGATGTGATAAAGTTTGTTATTATGGATGGGATCTTTCCCGCTTTATCAATTCTAAGATCTGGAGAACTGTGCATTTACTACCTTTTCTTCTTGTGACTAGTTCAGTGAAATGACACATTCTAAAAACTGAAATAAGACAACTATGATAAACTATTTATTTCTGTGACAGTCCAAACTGTCACAGAAAAGTGTGTCTTGAATGCATGACTAAATATTTGTGAAAAGTTTTACTACTGCATTAATAAACAACCATTACTTAATGCTGCTGTGTTCTCCTTTTACAAAAGAAAGAAGTATGAACCTGAACACACATGTTCATACATGTCTGCAGAGAAGCTGTAAGTCATTAATGAAAAGAATAAACATAGGGAAAACTCTTTGTGCTAATAAAGAACTTCCCCTAGGATATTTTCTGCTCACGGCAAGACAAGGCAGCACTACCTTCTCATAACGGACTCTTAGCCCTTACCCTCCCAAGAGGAAACATATCTGGCTATCTCTCATCACTGTAGGTCCCGAGACTGAACACTGCACAACCTCTATGTTCTGACCACTCAGGAAATATTTTCTTTGGATCTCTGGCAGGTCACTGCAAAATCATTAGAGAAACTGCAGTTACAATATAAATAGCCATAAACCTTGAGCTTGTTTGGAGGCTGGTTCTAGCAGGGGGCAGGGCTGCTGTATACCCTTGCCTGATGAACAGCACCATCTCCATGGGGAAGATGACCCTCTTCAACCAGGGTGCAGCTTTGGTAGAGATGCACATAGACGGAGCATTGAGGGGGAAGTGGACACCCCCTGGGCCAGCCAGGTCAGCTCAATCAACCTGGTACCTGGTCATCAGTGGGTGACAGGGGTGGAGCCAGACTGCCCTCACATCCAGGGGTCTGGGGATCCTGGTTGATTGAATGTGAGCCAGCAGTGCCCTGGCAGCCAGGAGGAACAGCCCTGTCCTGGGGGGCATCAGGCACAGCATTGCCAGCAGGGCAAGGGAGGGATTGTCCTGCTCTGCTCTGAGCTGGGGCAGCCTCACCTCGAGTGCTGGGGGCAGTTTTGGGCACAAAATATAAAAGAGATAAAAAGCTATTTAAGAATATCCAAAGGAGGGCCATGTAAAGCTATTTAAGAGTGCCCAAAGGAGGGCCCTGAGGATCATGAAGGGCCTACAGGCATAGCCATACAAGGAGTGGCTGAGGTCGCTTGGTTCAAACTGGAGGAGACTGAGGGGAGACATCATTGCAGTCTGCAACTCCCTCATGAGAAGAAGAGAAGCAGGCACTGATCCCTTCTCTCTGGTGACCTGTGACAGGACCCAAGGAAATGGCATCAAGTTGTATGAGGGGAAAGTTGTATGAGGGGAAACTGAGGTTCGGCAATAAGAAAAGTCCTTTACCCAGAGGGTGGAGGAACACTGGACCAGGGCAGTGGTCACAGCACCAAGGCTGACAGAGTTCAAGCAGCATTTGGACAATGCTCACAGGCACATGATTTGAGTCTAAGTGTACTGAGTCTAAGGGCCAGGAGCTGGACTCAATGATCCTGTTGAGTCCCTTCCAGGTGAGGATATTCTGTGATGCTGTAAGACCTGGAAGTAGCAATACTTGATTCCCTAGCAAGTCATGGTGTTGTCTCCTGCATCTGAGGTGTGCCCTCCAGCCCAAGAACGGGCAAGCAACCACTGTAACCTCACACCTCCACAGCAGGCTGACAAACTCAACATGCTACATGACCACTCTCTCCATCCATTTAGCAGTCTAAGCTTACAAACAGTACCCAAAAAGAAACTTAAATGCCATGTTCAATAAAACACCATCTTGTTTAGTTTTATTTCTTCTCACCAAAAAGTTATCATGTATAATTGAAAAGGGGGAACTCCAACTACAGTCTTCATTGCAGTAAGGTCCTGCGTTCCAGAAATCACAAGGTCTAATCTCAATAGGTTCCTATTTTATTGGTAGAGTTCTGAGGCGAGTTATTTGTCTGAACAAAGGCAAATGTAGTGCATGTGAGTTACAGTAGGGGACCCCAGCTGGTCTCCAGCTCCCAGCTGAGGATGACACATGTTAGCTGTAGTTTGTATGTCATTCATGCCAGGCCCATGCAGCATGTGGGCTGGAATTCCAGGTGACTCTCAGATGACACCAGATGCCTACCTTTAAGCAACTGAATCAAGCCCTTTGCCAATAAAGTTCATGAGGTCTTGGTTCTCCACACAAATGTGGATGTCAGAGAGGGATACATGCACATCTGAATTTATGTGCCCATATTACAGAAAATTTCACCGTTATCTCTCTCACAGTAACTCAGTGAAAGTGAATGCTTTTAATACCAAAGTCCAAGGCTTTCCTTTATTGACATGATCCAGATCCTACAGATCTGTCAATTTGTAAAAGGGTACTGAAATTATCCTCACAAATGACATAAGTTTAAAGGTTTGTTGTCTTAATCAAAGTAAATCTCAACATACTTCTGAACAACTGGCTGCTGTTTTTAGCATGCCAAGATGTTAAGCTACTGTATAGCATGGGGTTTTTTTGTCACTACTGACCTACCAACAAAGGAAATAGTGACATATGACATAGAATCAGGGAAAACCCCTAAAAATTACATACCACACTAAGGTTTGTGACATTTTTTTCTTTTCACTGTGAAAAATGTATTAAAATCATTCTTACAATCACCTGCCTTAGAACTTCATGTCAATTAGGTGCTGGAAGGGTGAAAAAAGTTGTAGCAGGTCCTATATCCTTATAAGAGTTACTCACCTTTGTACATATACTAGTAAAAAAACACTTTGATGAATCATACACAAGAAGTTTGAGAAGTTTCACTTAGGAGTTTTGAGAGCTACACACAGAAACTGTCTGAAAATATGTTTCCCCAACATATTGGGAAAATAGGTCCATGTGACTCACTCTAAGAAACTCCCAGTGATTAAAAACTAACCAACAAAAAGATTTATTTGCATCATTCAGGAAAAGAAAGCCAGTGCCAATCCAGTGCAACTTGACAGTTTTTGCATTACTGCAATTGCCATTTAGCACATCCTCATTTAGCTTTCGTTATCATTTGTGACAGAGGGTAAAAAATTGCCTGCAGTACCGAAATGATATTATTATGGGTCTAAATAGACATTTTTAAGTTAATTATATTCATACAAAATATTTGTTATTGATGCCTGTCGACTGATGGATACTTTCAGGAAGTACTTGAACTACTGCTTTCCACTTCAGTATTGGATACCAGACTCATTGAAGGGAAAAAGAGAGAATTAACTCTACATTGGTACACTCATTTACCCATACAAGACATAGGATTAAAATCTGTCTTGTTCCTCAGTTTTTCCTTGACTTTCACTTTTCAACGTCAAGAACACTGGACAATTATTTACAAAGAACTTTAAGGAATACAATGATACAATGCATATGCAGGTCTCCTGTTCTGATGCAGGATGAGAGAAAATGTCCCTTGTTAGTGAAATTACTACTAATAAGAGACTTCATACCTTGAAAAAAGGTATGGGTATCCACAAGATATGAAAGAATATCTTGTGTCAAGATGAAGATTTCAAATTAAGAAGAAACAAGTCAAGTTTTGTCAAAAAAAAAAAGCCTAAAAAAAACCCTCTCTACTACTAGAGGAGTAGATACCCTAAGACATCTGAGAATTGACACAGCCACTACTTGTTCCATCTTTACTTGAGGAAGGGAGTTAGGAGCAATCAAAAAGTACAAGTCAAGTATTTATTTAGAATTTATGGTCAGGCAGCATATCTGGCTACAGAACACAAACAATTCAATGACAAAATTCTGCCACACCAATATGCAAAATTATTTATTTTCACTTTAATCATATTGCCATTTCAGGCATTACAAATTAAAGGTTTGTCTCTTAAAGCATTCAGGCAATTACAGGAAGAAACAGGCATTTTCATAGGTTTCACAGGGTCGTACTTCCATCTGCAGGCACCCAAGTACCTTCAAAAATCTTGAAGACCTACATCAAATGTAGCTCCCTCAGTGACGGACTCTGGATCTTCCAAACAACATGTCACTTCTTGCAGATGTCAATGAAAGGTTTGTTCTTTACCTGTGAGACAAACCAACCCTCAAATTACTTCCGTTATAAGAGATCACTTAAGAGTTTTCATTTCAGTCTGCTTGTAACTCTTTTTTACTTCACATACATTTCACAATTTGGAACTTTTTTTATTATAGCAAACAGTTCTATTTTCATTAATCATAGGGACTTCATCTAAAAGTTTCCTATTGTGTGTCAAGCACTAACAGTACTAACATCTGTTTGAATGCTGAGCTATGTATTGGTAGTCCTGATCCCCACATCTGAAAAAACCTCCAGAGTCCTTTGGGACAAATGCAGTCCACAGTTCACCAACCCTAACTGTATCTTCCTTCTAACAAGTCATTCTAGGAAGTTTTCTTCATCCGACAATACAACTTTTACTCATAAATGGGCACACACTTCAGCAGTGGCTTCAAAAATTCAGAACTAGTACAGTCTTAGATAGGCATGAACTGTCTGAATACTCAGTTCAGCAGCAAACTGTTGAAAACCCCCTGCTCCAAAATACAAGCTCACTGACACTGTAGGATTGTCTGTCATAAGAAATTTATTTCTAGGCCACCTTCTGCCACTTTTAAGCATCAATTATTTGATTTACACATGATCTCATCAATTCCTCTGGTTTCTGTGCAGAAAAACAGATTACATGATCAATCAATAGCCCAGAATTTTGGCTGAACTAGGTGATCTCAGTGATTTCTGTATAGGGACCCTCCTTTTCCCTAGGAATGTAAACATCTGAAAGCACACAGATTATCAAAATTTGCCAATTTTAGAAACCCAGGTGGTGGGAGAGGGGAGAAAGTTAGGAAATTAAAGAGCTGAGACTTCCCAATCTGAAAGCAGATTTTCAAACAAGCAAAGCTTTCATCTTGAGGGCAAATAGAAAGATATAGAAAGATCAGGGAAAGGTGATTATGATCATATATTAGTTAATTTTTGTTTTTTCAAAGGACAGAAATTTTTAAAGTTTAAAAATGCCTCCAAATGTGGCCAACAAAGTAACCATGTGGACATACTTTTCCATAATAGGAATCCTATTTCTAGCAGAACTACATCCCAATGGTCTCAAAAGCAGCCTAGTTATGTAGCCTAATTTGATATAATGTTTACACAGAAGCTTTTCCCACACTTGGGGTCCAGAATGTGATCCAGTAGATGTTTTTTCCTAGCATATGAAGTTTTTGAGGATTATTTCATCACAAACATTAAGGTAGCACACATGGATATCCTTCACATTCATTTCTATTAATTTCTCCCCAAAACCAAAGACCAAAGATAATGATAATACAAACTGCAATGAGCTCATTAATGGTTTTGTGGTGGACACTGATGCATGAACACCTCAAACAGTGGATTAAGATTTTTACCAAGCTGGAAATGTATCAAGATTGTTCTCTTCTATTTTGAAAACATGAAAACATACCTGATTTTTTCTGAAAACAAATTTAAAACTCTTTCCCTTTATAGGGTAATACTCAGGGTAAGATGTCAAGTATCAACTGGAGAAGTAACATACAAAAGTTGTGTTGAATTGCTCAATCTGTCCTTTGAAGGTTTACCAATTTGACAGGCCATTTTGAAGGTAAATGTTTCCTGTCAAATGGTTTCTCAAAACATCCATGAATGATTTTGTAACTTCATTTACCACAAAAGAATGCACTTACTGGCTTTTCAAGTACAATTGGATGATCAGGAAGAAACTCTGGTTTCTTCTGAGAGAGAGAAACATTTGAAAGCTTCAGAAGGAAATCTCTGCTGTATTGGATCCTTTCTGTGAATACAGAAAATCACTAAGTTTAACATTCTTGTTTAAGGAATTAAGATTGGAAATTCAGAAAAATTATTTTGTAACTTATAGAAGAAATGCTACACAAGGAATATAAAAATCAATTTTAAAAACAGAAGTAATTTAGCTCATATCTTGCATCAGGAAATTCTGAAGTAAATTACAGAGCATTTCACTTTAACTGTACCAAACTGACACAGTAAATCAACACAAAAGACGAAAAAAGCTGAATCCAACCTTACAACAGACAGACTCCCTGTATCTTGTTCTAATTAGCAGAAACACCATAAACTGGTCTTGAAACCCACAAGAAAATCTGTTTATAACTCACTCCAAAGTGGCACCTATTTCTAAGTGACAGATAACAAAAACAGGGTGTCTCTTTTCTTGGAGCTAATAAGTTAAATGTCTTTCAACACGTAAAAGTAATGACAAGATCTGCTGTATGCAAAATGGCAAACAGATTAATAGCAGTGAAATACTTTTGAGGGATTATGTTGGATCAACAAGTGTCAGAGCCTTTGCTCAGAACATGTAGGTTTCTCATTCAAGTTGACAGCACTATGTCTACTATGGCATAGCTTTGGATACAGTATATCTAGCAATGTCTGGTTTTAAGCTGATATTCTCAAGCAAGAAACAAGAGGAAAGGAATTAGGCAAACAAAGAACAAACCTTATCTCTGGTCCTTGATGACAAAGAAGCATATTGCTTTAGCAATAATGGGCTTCCTGCAAGATTGTTACACTGTCACCTGATGGACAACAGTTTTTGCTTCTCAGACTGTGGGATGTTGAAAAGAGAGAAGCTGATATCAACGATGACACAAATTTTTTCTTGCCTTTGAACACAAATGATGCAGTAACTGGTGAACCTGAGAGAGGGCATGTGGGTAACTTTGAAAAAGAAACAGTTTAAAGAATACAAGCATACTTGAAAACTAATGTCTTCTTTTTACCTCCCTTTGATTAAAACCTATGAAGGTGATTTTTGTAAGCCTTTAACACAATCCCCCACAACATCCTTTTCTCTAAATTGGGGAGATGTGGATTAGATTGGGGGATTGTTCACTGGATGAGGAACTGGTTGGACAGCTGCATCTGATCTCATGTTGGAACAAGTGCAGAGGAGAGCGCCTAAGCTGATCACAGGGTTGGAACACCCCTCCTATGAAGACAGGCTCAGATAGTTGAAGATGTTCAGCCTGGAGAAGTATATTGGGTTACTTTGGGACAGCCTGCCAGTACTTCCAGATGGGGGCCTACAAGAAGCTACAGAGGGACTTTTCAGAGGCATACAGTGATAGGAAAAGAGGCCTTAAGCTGAGGGACAGTAGGTTTAGGCTAGACAGGAGAACAAAATTCGTTACTCTGAGGATGGTGAGGCACTGGAAAAGGCTGCACAGAGAAGTTATGGATGCCCCACCCCTGCAAGTGTTCATCATCAGGCTGGATGGGGCTTTGAGTAACGTGGTCTCCTGGCAGGTGCCCCCACTCATAGCAGGGGGTTAGGACTTAATGGATTTTTAGTCCCCTACAACCCAAACCATCCTATGATCCAAAGAGTAGTGGTCATGTCTGGATGCATATCAGTGAATGATGAATGGGATCCCTCAGGGGTCCATATCTGGACCAATTCTATTGAGTATCTTCAGCAATGGCAGACAGTGGGATCAACGGCACCCTCAGCAAATCTGCAGGTAACACCAAACTGAGTGGTGCAGTTGGCACACCTGAGGGACAGGATACCATCCAGAGAGACCTGGAAAAGCTCAACAAGTGGGCCCATGAAAACCCCATGCTGCACTTAAGAACTGCTGAGACAGATAATTGAAAGCACAGTACTGCTGAAGAGATATTAAATAGAAATTATTATCTGGAACTTAAAGTACAGCTGAATATAAACAGAGCTCTAGAAGAAATATTACTGTGCAAGAAAAAAAAAAAAGAAAACAAAAGACTTATTTATAAGAAGTAGCTGAATAGTAGGACCTCTAAAGTTGTGCAACTCGGAAGGAAAAGATTACAACTATCAGCAAACAAACAAAAGCCCTTTGAAAACAAGTGTGAGAAAAAGTTTGACAATGGGGAGAATTGTGGAGCAGACTCAGAGAGGCATCACAGAGCAAGTAACCACTGAAAATGATCCAAAGGGTTGGATTATACAAGAGACCAGGATCTGATGAGAAGCTGTTTAAGACCTTGTAGAACAAAACAATCTCTACTCACCACAAGCAGAATCGATGACAAAGGATCAGAAAGAAACCACTAAATGGACAGAACTTGACAAGTCTGTCATCTAACTAGATCAAAAGAACAGAACTCTCTTCTATTTATCAAGATCAAAAATAGAAGAAATGAGCCTGAGCTTTAAAGAAAATACATAGAGGACTTATTTTTAAGTCAGTAACACACAACAGAACCAAACTAATGCCCAAGAACGTGTGAGATGGTAACCTCAGACTGACAAAAATATGAAAGCCTCATTAAAACCTAACAGAATTCTTTCAAATTTTGAGTACAAATAGCAAAAGGACAAACTACATCTTCAGAGATTACTTAAGGATTGGAAATTACAGATGGATGCCTGATTACAGGCAGACACAGACAAATGAAATTGTCTCAATAAACTGGTGACCTAACCTGGGTAACTGATGCAGTTTCTGCGACATGTTTAAAAATGAAGAATTAGGTAGGAAGCAGGGCAGGGAAGTATTGTGAGAATGCATTTGAACTCTGAGATTATCCCTTAATGAAAAAAAGGAGCAAAATTTTGACTTGGTTAAACTACCATTTCTCTATGAGTACAGTGGCAGGCAGTACAGAGAGAAAAGCACAAGGAGCAAACCTTAAGGACAATACTGACACAGAAACAAATAGTGCAGGATTAATCATAAAAAAAGTTAATTCATATCTAACCACCCAAATACTATTATTTCAGAACCACCGTAGTAAGAGCAGGACAAGGAAGCCAAAATGCTGAGTTCTTAACTTGTTTACATTCAATAGTCTGTGTGCCACAGCTGAGCCCTGCAGCAGGCTAAAGCATGCAACTCAAATGTGTACTTCTACACACACAAGCAATCTATATAAACTCAGGATTTAGTGTGAAGAATTTTTTTTAATGTTTGGGGTCTGTTTTTTCAGGGAGTTGGCTGCGGTTTTTTGTTTGTTTGTTTTGTTGGGTTTGTTTGGGTTTTTTTAAGTTATATCCACATATGCAAGCAGCTCTACCAGTGGAAGTTTTCTACCTCAGTTATGGTGAATTTTTACACTTTCTCTAGAGTGCTATGTAAAAAGCAGGAAAGTTTCATACTGCTCTCCAAACTATCAATCCACTGGCTGATCAGAAAAAATAAAGTGCAGCCCACATCACTTCAAAGTTCAGTTGTCCTTCATCAGAAAATAAAATCCTGACACAGCTCCACATGCAGTATTTTACCTTTTTTTTCTCCTGATTCATGTTGCTTTGGTTGACAGAGCATCATAGTTTGAGTTAAGATCTTCACTTCAGTCATTTCAGATGACTAAGATAGGAAGGAAAGTTATGAAGCTTATTTCCTTTAAGCATATTAAAACAAGGATACATGTTTCTTAGGTAAAGTAACAGTTGTAGTACAGTTTAATTTGAACCTGTAGAATGTTACTGCTGATTACATACAATAAAGGAATAAGACAATACAGATGAACATATTTGAGAGATATTTTTATACAGAACTTTACAGTTCTACTGTAAGTCTTTAAAAACAACACAATTATCCCTTTCTTTACTATTATCCCACCTAAAACACAGCCACAAGCTGCTACATTTGGGAATAATAAAAGCAGGAAGGACTTTTCCTTAAGACAAAAGGATGGACTTGGATTCTTTCATTTAGCAGAAAGGAGATGGTCAAAAGTCTTATTGAAAAGTCTTTTCCATATGCTACATTAAAGAAAAAGTCAAAAAAATATAAAAAAAACAGCTATACCTATATCAAACAAAGGCAAAGTGCAGCTACATGCAGCTAAATACTGATGAAACTGAATATTACAGCACTGATGACCAGAGGCTTATTTAAAAGTGAGTAGTTTGTTCTCTTCAGTAATTACTGCTCAAGAGACGAGGGTGTTAATTTCCCTGTGTTGGATCAAAGATAGGCTCCCAAGACCTTAACTTTTTTTTTTTAAATGTTAAAGTCAAAGGCAGCTTGCAGAAGCTCCATACAATAAAGAATGCTTACTGGATTACTGAAACTCTTCTAAAATAATAAAAAAATAAAGTAAAAATTAAGGGACAGGTATTTGTTCTCAAAAAAAAAAACCCATTTATCAACACTCTGAAAAAACATTCAAATCAGAATCAACAGAAAGTTCAGGCTATGAAACATGAAGCAGGCTATGAAACATGAAGCATTCCATTTGGAAGACTTCAAACTTCATCTTCCAGCACACAGCTACAACCAATTTCAAGTCTGAAAAACAGATCTGTACTATGTCCAAAGTCAAGCACTTCTAGCAATAAAGCACAAAGTTTTATGATGTTTGCTGTCTCAAATGAATTTGTACATGTGCTAACAACAACAAAAAATTCTAATTTTATTATTTACACATAATAAGTGAAGACAGAATACATGTATTCTAAGTTTAAAAGAACTGACTTAAATTCAGGAAGACTAAAGAAATGCCACACAGATTTTTTGTAAGAATCTTAAATTCCTAAGCTGCATTTTTCAGCTATTAGTGCATGCAAATACCAGGGAAAGGCATTCCTGAAACTCATAATTCTTTTCAACAGTTCTGACACTGCTGGTTTAAAACATTCAGAGTCAAGGACACTCCAAGCTGGAAACAGTTTTCATTTAGTTACTCAACAGATCTGCTGACCTCCAATTTATAAATAATTATATATTTCCTCAATACTCACCCAGTTAACCTTACTCTGCAAACATACTTCAGTGCTGCTGGGTAATTCAGTCCGAATGTTTAATGCAATGGGTGATGCTGGCGAGCATAAAACATTAAGAAAAAATAATTTCAATAGACACCACAGTATTATTTTGTGATACTTGCCCCAAGAACATTCCTTGCTGCACAGAGATTTTACAGGCATTTATTCACAACTTAGAAGCTCCACATCACCACAGGACCCCTTTTCCGTTTCTTCCATAAATTTCATACAAAGTAAAAGTTTATGATGTCACTTAGCTTCAGTCCACATCAGCACAGCTGATGACTTTCTGCTGGAACAAAAATTTCTAACTTACCGATAGCAACTGTAGTACTGCAATAGCTAGGCTTTAATCTATAGAAATTTAAAAATTAAAGCAAAATATTCCCACCTGACATAAATACTTCATGATTTCTTTTCTAGAAGTTTTTTGGGTTTTTTGTTTTGAATTTGTGTGAAAGCTAGGTAAGAACAATACAGTGCAGTGTACTGTACCTGAGGCATCAGCACTTGCAATAAAACCCAAATAATCTGTTAAATTATGTGTATCTTATGTTATCAATAGCAGGATCAGTCACCCCAAGAAATCCAAATTTAACGGAGAAGCCTGATTCAGCTTTCTGAAGCTACATTTCAGATGCCAAGCTAGAAGAGCAGCACCAAAGAGCTCTGCATAAATCTAATACAGTTTAAATTCAGATTTTATCACAGAAATTATGTGCTAAGACCAACACACAGCAAGCTATTTTCTCACTGTAATTTAATGAAGTAATTTAAAAACAAAACAAAACCAGACACCTCACACATCCTTGTTACTTCCCAAAACATAACCCAAACTTTGGTAAAGTGAACTGCACCTTAGCCATGCTACTCACCTTGTTTAGAAGACAGCTGATGCACAGGTCGTGCTGGCTGAAGGGATTTACCAATAAACTTTTTTGCTTCTGTAACATTTTGAAACATCGCACTTCAAAAAAGCAGCTGAAATCATTAGCATTCAGTTTCACATATGGATGTTAAACAAGAAGAGCAATCTACCTACTCCCTGTTAGTTGCATTTGACAAGGCAATATTATATCTGGGCAGGAAAAAGCAGAAAGGTCTGATTCATCAGTTTTTTTAGATGATTGAACATGCTGGATAAAATTTGCATGAAGACAGAATCAGACACTCCTCTCATTTTTCCTTCCAACTGAGCTACCCTAGCTTCTTCTTAAGATTCTTTCCCTGTATGTCTATGTACACATTTGGAGAAAGGAGATGGGGACATGATGGAAATAAGGGAGTTTCTAACATAGTTCAACAGGTTTTTAATTAATTGGCATCAGCATACCCCTTATCAATCTGTTGTCTGCACAGGAGTTCCTTACATATCTATATAAACTTAGAGGACTGATTTTTAATAGCTACTTTAGTTAAAGTAATACAGTTTTGTATCTTCCCACTCAGTTTAGCTACTATAGAAGCTTCAAAAACTGTGAAGGTGGTGCTGGGCTGAAAAATTTCACACTTTAAGCAAGCAATCAGTTGGAAAATGTTCATTTGTAGTATCTGTATCCTAATGGATATCCCTCTCATTCCCATCTCTTGTCAACTGGGAGATTTTATGATCTGAAGGAATTTCAGCTATTTTTAGAGAAAAAGAATACCAGAAAAAATAACTGCCACAATATAAATGATACTGATTTTTTTTTCTCTAAGAAACTTTACAAGACAAGGGAATAATTGTTATAACAAAAAAATTTCAAGAAATACTCATGACTGCAAGAGTTACAACTACATGATCCATTTCCTGTACAACACAGGAAAAGAGAAGATAGGCTGTTAGACCCAGTATCATACACAACTTCAGTTGGTCTTTGTGTAGGAAGAAAACTAAATATCATCTTAGAATTTTCTACACTATAATTTTTGAACACTTCTAACACAGTCAAATAACAATTTTCCAAAATACGAAGTTGGAACCAGGTCTAGAAACCAACTGTTTCATGGTTACTGTCTGAATTAGAACAACTTAACTAAAGCTAGGAAAAAAAAATCTGGTTTGATTCTCTGATTTTCCTACCCGCTCATCTTAAAAAAGAAAGACTTCAAAGCTGTAGTCAAAAGAAGCAATGAAAATTCCTGCAAGTGAATTAACTAAGACTACACATAGGGATGACATATTTCATTTAACCCAAATTATGAATGCTTGTATAAAACACATTTATCCTAGATAGTGAATTTCCACAGAAAGCAATGCAGTAATTATACACATTTGCATCAGAAGAGTGAAAAAATCCCCAACAAACAGGCAAGTTTTCCTTCATGCCCTGATGACAAATTATATGCACGCTTTTTAAAAACAGGAAAACCTGTTAAAGAGACTGCCTAGCTTCTAGAATGCAGCATACTTCTATTTTATCACAGTGTTCTGACAATAAAAACAAGTTGGGTGGTGACAGCAAAACACATTTTGCCGCTCTTCCCTCATCCTCCTCCAGGAAGCCTCCAGAAAATACCAAGTTATCTAGCCCAACCTCAATTAATAGTGTTCTTTCTGACCAGTGTCAAGGAAAGTGGAGAAGGAGTCGTTTTAATAGCAGAGGAATAAACTGCTTCCATGAGAGACTATTGCAGTAGGGGCGGCATCCCAAGAACTGTCCCTTCCAAGGCCACACTGCTTCTCTGGGGACATTCCCATGGGAGCCCTGCCCAGCAGAAGGGAAGCCCTGTGGCACCAGCAAGCGGGCCTAGAAGCAGTTCTGTAGAACCCAGGAATTTTTTTTTTTTAGTATATTAATAAGCTGGACATTGACAGCAGCCATTTCTCAAGAGCTTGGAAGGCTCTTTCCTAAATGCGTGAAGAGGATTTCACGCTATTTTCGTGAAAAATCCCCACGAGTAACCGGAAACTGACCGTCCCCCCTCGCCCGAAATGGCACCGCACAGGGAGCCCCACAAAGAAACAAAACCCCCCACGGCCGCCCGGCGCCTCGCCCCCAGCCCAGCCCCCGTGCCCTGCCGTGGGCCGGGGGATGCCCAGCCCACCTCCAGCCGCCGGCAGCGCCCCTGCCCCGCGATGCCGCTGGTCGTGGTCCCGCTGAGCCCGCTCCGTCCCTCAGCGCGGCCGGGCGGGGCGGCCTTCGCGCGGCGCCTCGGCCGCGGCCGCGTGCCGGGCGGGGCCGTTCAACGTCGCGCCGCGGGCCGGGCACGGCCGGGGCTCCGCGGGGCTGCGGCGCCGCTTCCCGCCGCTTCTCGCCGCCCCCGGGGATTCAGGGCAGCGGGGCACACCTGAGAGCCGCCCTACGAGGCCCTGCCAAGGAGCAGGAGAGGCGAGCTGAGGTGCTGCTGGCCAGCTCCCTCTGGGGTTAAAGCTGAGAGGAACTGGAGATGGATAAAGGTGTCTCCTCCTCTGTCCCACAGACGGAGTCATGTCCCGTCAGGGCCTTACAGTGGAAATTGGGAGAAATAAGTGGCTTTTGAACACAACTGTGGGGTCTCTACAGCTAACTCCATCGAGAAAGAAAAGGGCAATTTTCAGACGTTGGAAAGCTGCCCTCATGGCATGGGGCAGGAGGGACGAGAGAATGGCCTCTGGTTTCTCAGTTGCAGAAGTGATGGCATGCTGTATGGTTTGGAAATTCAGAGTTTGTCTCATTTTTGCTCACAACATGTAATCAACAGTAGCAATGAATGCACCTTGCTAACTCCCAGAGAAGCACATTAAAGCTCCTTGATGTTAGTTTGCTAGACTTCACCTTACTGAAGTTTGCAATATTAATTAAAAGTCCTTGAGTTTTTGCTGATTTTTTTCTAACATATGTATTTCATATCACCTACTAAGAACTCCAGAAGTACAGAATAGGAAGGTAACGCCCAGTACATAATCACACAAATAACAAGCAACTAATTATTAATATATCCCATGTTAAGATTTACCTGGCTAGTTTATAAAGACTGTTTTGCTGTTTCCATCAACCACATTGGCTCTGCTTTGCTGCAGTCTCTGAATTTTATTAACTTAGATATTCAGAGATTAAACTGTCCTCGAAATAGTGGCTATTATATACAGATGTCACGCTCCTACAGTCTTCTCTCCTAACACATCATCTTCCAGTTGGTTTCCTGAGCTGTTCATGCATGATGTGCTATCAACCTTCTCTTTACAGACACTGGTAATCTGCATACTCACTAACCCATTTGCTGCTGTTTAAAGTTGGATTTAAAGTAATTTCTCCCAAGTGAATTAGTTCATACTCAGACATGTCCTGTTTCTTCTGACCCGCCATCCATTCTCACAAGATCATCATGTAAAATAGTTGCTCTCCTATTCTTATCAACCATTCCCTTAGCTACATAAGAACTAATTATAAATTATTAATATGTAAGTGCCCATAAATATTAAATGTGTCTGGCTGTTACTCCAGAACTGTTACTGATGGGAAAGTCAATGGGGCAACTAAAATAAAGATATGGTTTTTCATGGGGTTGTTGTGCTTTTTGAAAGAAGCGTGTCAGGTGCTGCAAACCAGATTTACAGAAGAGTGACACTGCCCTTCTTGGCATACTTGAAATGGTATCGCCTACAGATGTAGCAATAGGAATTCTTCCAGTGTTTTTGCATATTTAAATATGCTAAGGATGAACTAAACAGTAAAAACCTCACGTGTTTTTCATAGGGGCTGTAAACTGAGTTGCTGCTGGGTTGTAGGGCAAGGAGAAAGGGCAGGAACAAAAATACGGGGAGAAAAAAGGAGTGTGCCAGGTATTTTGAAAGCTTGCTGGGAAGATGGGAATATTGGGGCTGGCAATGGCTGTTTGTGAGGCTGCCCATGCCAGCAGGAGCAGTTATCACCCCGCACGCTGCAATGAGAGCTGGCACTGCCCGCATGGGCTGCAGCCATCGCCAGATCCCGGCAGCCTGGCCTGCCCAGCAGCCTCACCTGTGCCCGGAGAGAATCCTGCCTCCCCCTGCGGGAAGGGGAAAATACATTCGCTTATCACTTGTCTCCCTGGTGCTGGCAATTGCACTGCTGAAAATTTCTATTTCGTTTGGTTGGTATTGTTTATGTTCTTAAATGATGATAATCCAGTGTCCTCTCAAACACATGATACATACAGTAATTATTTTGAAGGACCAATGACTGGTATAGCCAAGAGAGACTTACTATGTGTTGCAAAATATAAATATTAAAGGTTTTTGTATCTATGTGAACAAAATGCTTATATGTAAGGAAAAAAAAAATCCCAAAACCATCTGTTTTTTCTATTTGATGAACTAATAATAATTATTAGTTTTAATAATTACTTTTCTATTTGATATAATAATAATAATAATAATAATAATAATAATAATAATAATAATTATTATTATTATTATTATTATTATTATTACTATTACTATTATTATTATTATTAATTCCCAGAATAATTAAGGAAATAATTTTTTAACATACTGATTGTGCTCCTAAAGGCTGTAGATTGCAGGAAGTGACACAGGCATTCTTGTTCCCTGTACTAGATATGATTCAGGAAAGCAGAAAACATTTATTAAAGACAGTATCAATATTGCACATGTAAAAATGAGCAATTGCACATCTAAATAAGCGTGTAATTGTAATTGTATGTGATCTTAGGTTTGTAATGGATGGCACTTAGCAGCAAAATAATGGCTTTGTGCTGAAATGAAAGGACTCTTGGGTCAGCCTGAGGGCACGCTTGTAGTTGCAAGTTTAAAAAGCCATTTTCAGTGTAATTGGATACTCAGTCCTGCAGCCAAATGTAATCATATTTGCATATGTAATTGTAATTTATTTAGCAGTACTTTTCTGGGAGATTTTTTTTTTCTTAAAGCCACTTTCATAATAATTTCATCGCAAAGCAAAAAAGAAACCAAACCAACCCTCACCCCAAGCCATTATTTCCAACACTGTATGCTTCATTAAGTCAGTCAACAGAACAAACACCAAGAGACAAGAATG